CCTGACAGCCTCAGCCTGAGTCTCCACTTCTTCCCCTGGGGTCAGATATCAAGACACTGTGCCTGGAAAAATTCAAGGGACAGATCCATCAGCATTCTTTGTGGCCATTCTTCAATATGAGTTTATGGGGGACACACTCCTCTTTCTCAGCAAGGAATACCAAAATTACCTCGCCACTTCAAGACATTTCTTCAGAAAAGTCTTTTTTCTTTTCCAGAATTCCAACATTTTTAGTCCGTTCATACCAGTGCTGAACTAAGGTTCACAAAATTGGTATTAATGCCTCCCTTCTTTGTAAGTCAAGTTCCTTACTTTAAAAGATAGGAGAAATTTCCCATCTATTTTTCTTTCTTGGCTTGTTAAATCACAAAGAAAACAAAACAAGAAACCTTTTTAAATATCTTGTTATGCATGACATGTATTTAAGAAGCTTCAGCTTTATCTTGGTAAGGCAGGGACTGCTAAATGTAATAGTCTTGAGTGTGTTAACAAGGGCATGAACCCTGATCCAACAGGCATATTCTTGATGCTCTCTGTTACTTCTCCCACCCCGATCCCTCCCAGCAACCATCCCTAAGAGGAAAGGATGAGTTTCTGGTTGTCAGCTCCCCGAATGCTGCCCCCAAATAAGGGACAGTGTTAATGAAATCAAATTAGACTGGGATAAGGAAGAGAAGTGGAGACTCGGACACAGCATGCCACAGTCTGAGCCTCCAGCATATCACCTTCCTTTCTTCTCTTTATTACCTTCAGCTCAGTTGGGTCAGGCCCATGATTCATCTACAGCTGGGGTGAAGGTACAGAAATAGGTTGGGGTTTAGGTGAAGTGAGGAAGTGGTGGGCATACTTTGGACCTTCAGATCCTTCATGCTCTTGTCACAGCTACCTCATCTGGCCCCTATATGTTCTCTGGATGTACCTTCTCTGTCAAATCACATTTCATGTCCCTTTCTAGGAACCAAGGAATAAAGAAAGCTGCCCCAGGCACTGCCCTTTGGGGAAGAGAGACAATGGCCTGGCATGGCTGACAGCACCACCACCTTTGCGTCTGTGCTTCTTCCTCCATCTGTCCAGGAGCCTCCCTTTTTGGGCCTCTGCCATCAAATTACATTTCCCTGCATTACTTTTTTTCCTGCTCCATCTTTAGTTTTCTTCTTCTATGTTGCTATCTTTTTTTGGCCATCATATCTTTACATTGTCTTTCTAGACATCTGAAAAAAATTGACTTCTCTGTCTTCCTGTTTCCTTCTTCCTAGTTTGTCTGTTTGCCTCTTAGTTTGTTCATTTAATATCATTTTTAGACAGAAAGGGATGATTGGAACCTGAATGGCCAAAGGGACTGAGGACAAAGCTCTGATTTTTTATCTTGCCCAAATTCCTATCCTAAGGGGTCTGGGGAGTCATGCCCTATAAGCCATAAATCTCATCAGATGGGTTTTATTTGACCCTGTGTATCGTGACTTACTTTCCAGTTTGACTCTGGCATAACAAGGAAGAAAATCAAAGTATTTTACCCCAAAATATATTTTCTTGCTATACCTTGAAATTGTCCTGCAAAGTCTCTTGTGGGAAAAAATCCACATTCTATAGAGAATCCCCTTTCCCCTTTGTTTTCCTTCCTTTCTTTCTAGATCCAGGAGATAATCAACTAAGAGCCAGGCACCCTTTTAGGTCTGATAAAAAAGCATTTTACAACCTGCTCTCTGTCTCTGAAGTCTGCTCTCTGCACGATTCCTCTGCACAATAAAACTTGGTCTGCACAATCCTTTACCTTAACCTGAACATTCCTTTCCATTGATCCCAGGTCTTCAGATAAACTCAACCAATTGTCAACCAGAAAATATTTAAATTTACTTACAGCGTAGAAGCCCCTGCTTTGAGTTGTCCCAACTTTCTGAACCAAACCAATGTATTTCTTAAATGTATTTGATTGATGTGTCATGCCTCCCTAAAAATATATAAAACCCAGCTGTACCCCGACCACCTTGGACACATGTTCTTAGGATCTCCTGAGGGCTGTGTCATGGGCCATGGTCACTCCTATTTGGCTCAGAATAAATCTCTTCAACTATTTTATGGAGTTTGGCCATTTTTGTCAACAGGGCAATGTGAGAATAGAAGGAAAGGGACAGGGCACCATTTTGCCACCCTAGAGGCAACTGGTTCAACCAGGATCACCCTGCCTTTGAAAAACATGCGGAAATCTCATGTTCCCACTTTCTCAGATGTCCCAGCCTCTGCTTCTCCCACTGCCATCACTTGCCATGAGAAGAATGACATCTAAAGGGGAGTTCCCTGTTCATCATCCTGACCATCTGGCTCTTTCTTCTCCACCTGGGAATAGAAAGAAGTTATCCACTGTCACCTTCTTGAACTCCACTGTGATTTGCAATTCCCGTAGGATGACTCCTTAAGGGACACTCTGCTCCCTGACTGACTCCAGCCTCCTTTCCCGCAATCCACTCCTCCCTACTCAAAAGTGACATTCTCAGTGGGGGAAAACAAATTCTCAATTGAATTTGAGTTCTCAACACTACCAGGAGTTCAATATAAGATAAAGCTCAATAAATATTTGCCAAGTAAAGTGATTTTCATCAATGAGTTTAGATAAAGAGTTCTCAAGTGTTTTCATGTATCTATTAAGTAAGTCAGTGGAGAGTCAAGTAAAGCATGAAGGAAGGATAAGAAAACCTGAAGACAAAGGAGAGAGACAAGTAGATGAGCACTGGGACCGGTGGGTTTTTTTAGGACATGAACCCTAAAGCTGGAGCAGTTTCTCTGAAAAGTCTGAGACTGCTGTGGGTTTTCTACAACTCTGTGCCTGCACTGCTCTGGGCCCTACAAAGGAACGTGTCTCCTGCAATAAACTCATCAAGACCAATTCCAGGTCCCAGCTGAAGGAAAATCTGGGCCTAGCTTTTACACTTGGTTCAAGAGCTTTGACCTGAATTATGATGAGACCATTTTTCAAGCAGTGCAGATTGTTTTGTGGTTCCCCTCTCTCTCACCCATATCTTGTCATGAAGAAACCTGGTTCAGGCTACAGTTGAAGTCCTCTGAAGTTGAGTTTGCCATCAAACAGTAGTTTAGTAAAATTCCTGAGAAAGCAGATATCCTCGTGTGATTTACTCAGTAGATGTTTACTGAAATGGGAAGAAGGTTGTATTCTAGGCCTTATGGTGGATGACGGGAAAGCAAACATAACAAGCTTCTACTGTGAAGAGCTCTTCTTTGTGGCCATTGTATCAAGGCGAAAAAGTCAAGGAGAAACAGTACCCAGCACTTCAGTGCTCTTGTTTTGAAGACTTGGTGAATATAGCAAAGCATCTTCTAACTTCACCTGTCTCCCGTCCCTCCTGCTGCCACTGGAAGAGGTTCTGTTGGGATGAGCACAGAGGCTTGGCTCTCCACTCCAGAGCACAGGATTAGGACCTCACACCAAGCCAAAGGCCAGTGATTGCAAATGAAGCAAGAACCTCATTCCCTCACTGTACTAAGGTGAGACAAGTTCCTGAGTTCAAGAGCACTTCACTGGATGACCTCCTCCTGCCCTAAGTAGGGCAAGGGGCAATGATGGGGACCTAGACCTTGGGTAGCATCCAAACCCATCTGCAGAAGCATCAGCTCTGAGTTAGAATAACTTATTTCAAAAGCTGAAGAGAAATTTTCTGGGGATATTTCAGTGGCCCCAAGCAATCTAATTTCATCCGACCACATTTTTTACTCCTTTGCTTCCATGTGTACCAGGAACCTGCCTGGGAGTGGGGTTTGTGATGACTGTGGGGCACATTTCCAGCCTTTTGCGTATCTTTCTGGCCTCCACACCAAAGGCCAGAACCCCTTCTCTCTTCCCTGTATCTTTCAACGCTTCCCTCATTTATCTTTTCTTTGCATTCCCTCATCCGGCTCCTTTCTGAGTGCTTTCCTCTATGGTTTTGTCTTTCTGCAGGAGCTGTGAATGTGTGGGGAGAAGCATGAGCATGCTAGGGACAGATGGTGGGCTCACCGGGACAGAATATTATAGCTAGAGTCCCGCTTCTGCCCTTTGCCCTCTCTGAATCCCTCCAGGTCTGTCACATGGACACCTCTGTTCCTGCCTTCTGCTGGCATTCTCTATCTGTTGCTTGCCCCCAGTCTCCTTATCACTGCTCTACACTCTGGATTTTCTCCTAGGGGAAGCAACCAGTTCTTTTGTTATTTTTCTGCTGCTGTCACTCTTTGTTATTTTATTTCTATGTCTTGTTCTTTGTATGTATCTCTTTGTATCTTTCTATATAGCTATCTCTCTCCCTACCTAGCAGATTCTCTTTCCCTAGTGGGGCCATTGTGGCTCATCCATTTGACTTTTTCTTTCATAGGAAGAACAGGACCCTGGGATGGCTATGGCGGGGTTAGAAAGCAGGGGTGGAGTTGGACATCAGTGAGCAGCTTCCGGGCTGGGGGACCTTGTGCCCTGGAGGTGGTGTTTCACTCCTTGGGTCCCTTCTGGTCTTGCCTTTTCCTTGATCACTCTTTTTTCACTTTTCCAGTAGCCACCATTTGGTTTGCAGACATGAAACCAAACCTTCCGACACTCACCCCATGGGCTGTCTGTCTGCTTCTAGCTGGGAACTCTGATAATGAGGTTTCCCTCTCCAACTGTGGACCCCATTATTAGAAACACATCCGGAAAGGCTGACTCAGGCAGGGAGTATCTATCTACTCTGTCAGGAAGTTCCTTCCCAAGAACTTCTCAAGCCCAACCCCAGCCACTCACAGACTAGAGGCTTCAAGGATTTTTTCCATTTGCCATCTAAGAAATTGACTCCCTATGTTAGCTTACAAACTCAACTTCACCTCTAATGTCTTGGAAGCTACTGGACGCGATTTTACAAGATTGCTTTTAGAGGAAAAAACACGGTTTCTCATTCATTTTTGAATACCCAAGACTGATTAGAGTATGTGCCTGGCACTTGAGCTTCCATGGGTGTGTTTTGAATAACATTAAAATAGTAATGTCCAGTTCCTAAGGTGCTTTATGGGTATGAGTGACAATGATATCCAAGAGTCCCAGGGGCAGAAATGGTAAAGAATCCAGGATGTAAAGGTCTGGACAAGAGTGGGGAGAGAAGAGGAATATAAATCCATGAGTTCTAGAAGGAATTGCATATTAGCTTGTCAGGTAAGGCATAGCTTCAGTGTGTCAGAACATCTGCAATGGAAGAATTCTAATAGATCCCAGGCAACTGGAAGTCAGTGAGTTAGTGGTGGCAGGAATTCCCAGACCAGGCTTTCCCAAGCAGGTGTAGCCAAAACTACAGATCAAGACAAGTCCCATGAGCCCTTAATGAAAAAAATAAAAGGTACATATTAAATTTATGGATTAAAAAAATTCTTGTGAAAAAGAATAGAGTCCACAAACGCTCGCTTCAAAATAGGCATTCTCATTTGCAACACAAAGTCCCATTAGTAAAGAGATGTGGGTTTCCCAGGAAACTCAGGGCTCAGTATGAGTAAAGTCTCCTGACACAAGAATCAGTCCAAAGAAGTTGACTGGGAATGAATTGGGAGTGATCAAAGCCAAGAACCAGGAAGATGGGGAGTAATCCCAAGTAAAGTGAATAATGAAATAAAAGGGTGATGACTGGTTCAGACCACCAGAGCAAGGCACTCTTATTGTTTTCAGAGACAGAGTCTCGCTCTGTCACCCAGTTTGGAATGCAGTGGTGCAATCTCAGCTCACTGCAACCTCCACCTCCCAGGTTCAGGCAATTCTCCTGCCTCAGCCTCCTGAGTAGCTGGGACTATAGGCACACACTGCCATGCCTCTATCTATCTATCTATCTAGCTAGCTAGCTAGCTAGCTAGCTAGCTAGCTAGCTAGCTACCTATCATCTATTTTATTTTTCATATTTTAATAGAGACAGGGTTTCACCATGCTGCCCAGTCTGGTATTGAACTCCTGAGCTCAAGCAATCAGCCCACCTTGGCCTCCCAAATGCTAGGCAAAGCATTCTTAACAGCCTAATTTTGCCTTGTCTTTCTAAAAGAAGCTCTACTAATAGGTCGTTTGATAATTTCCTATAGCATAAAAATGAGGTTATGCTCAAGCTTTTGTTGGAAAGTCATTCTTCCTCCTACCTTGGGGCATGCAGCTCACCCTACTTCCTATATGGATATACATCCCTTCCAGGAGTGAAAAAAAACTCAAAGTTTGGCCCTAATTGTTATTGCTCTTCCTGGGGACAGTAGGGCCCCTTTAGTTTTGGGAGTGCCTATTTTGAAGGGAGAGTTTGTGGGCTTGGGTCAATCTAATAATTTTCTCTTCAATGCTGAATCTGGGATATGGCCTGGCTTAGAACCAGGTAAGGATGAAGACCTCAAGGGAACAGCCCAGAGGATGGAAGCCTAGTAGCTGGCCTCACAAGGACTTGAATTCCTTTAACCACTAGCCACTCCCCTAACTATAGCCCTCTTTATCTGCCCCACGCCCTTGCCTCCAACCTACACACACATTCCAAAGTGCGAGCTGTCAGAGGGCTAACCGGGAGCAAAATGCCCTCTTTTCCTTTCCTCTCCTCTTAGGCAGCCTTATCGAGGCTCATTCTACATGGAGTTCCTCTCCCTCAGAAACTTATGCTGAGGATCAGAAGGGGGAACAGGCAAGTCAGACAGTGATTTGTTTTGAAGTGCCTCTGACCATCGTGGTCTTTCATTTCCATCACAGTTCTCTTTCCAGAGCAAGACTGGACCAAGGTATGCATTCCTGGACAAAGGTTCCTGGATCCCCATGTCCTTGACCCAGCTCTGATGCCCCAGACCCCACATCCCCCTTCTCTTCCCTACTCTCCCCTCCCTTCCCCTCCTGTCCTTTCCCTTTCCCTTGCCTCCCCTGCACTCCATGTCTGTTTTCTTCAGGACTCTGCTGCTCTCTGCTCTTGCTTACTTTGCCTTGCTGCAGGACATCCCGGATATCCTGCAAGAGCAGGAAGCAGAATTCGTCTGTGTTGGTCTATGTTAAAAATTTTAATTGTCTACAGCATGACAAAATAGGTACCATGAAGAAAGAAAGGCCTATGGACATTCCAGGGAGAGCAAAGCAAAAGCAACCTCTTTCACCTGATCTATTGCTTGAGTTCAACCTCATTAGACAGATTGTTCTCATTGCTGCCTTCCTTCTTTCTTGGAAGGCTCCACAGACAGGAAAGGGATGGTCCACAAGGCACAAATTCCTGACCCATCATTTCCCTTCTCTTGGTTTTCTAGTCTCCACCTGGAAATAGCAAAGAGTTCCTGATCCAAGCACTGTATTTCAGTCACCCAAGACCACAATCTTGGAAACCTCTGCCCCCCTGGGGAGTGAGAGCCTGTTTCATTGTCATGTGCTACTCTGAGGACAGGCCAAATATCTCCAAACGCATTTCCATTAAAGAGATTGCCAGGTTTCAGTCTTTTACTATGGCTGCCTTGATGACTCTAGGGTTCTCTCCTAGGCATCAGGGCATGGGGACATTATATTGCATTTAACATGGGGCCACAGGATTGCACACTTGATTGTCTGTATGCCCCCTTCACATTGGGAGCTTACTGAAGGCAGAAGGTTCTCACAGGGCAAGGATGCAGATCCTTCTCTAACTTAGCAAATTCATCAATGGGATGTGTGGGCTATCCTAGAGGAGTAAGTCTCTTGAAGTTAGCTGGAGTCAAAGGGCACTGATGAAGGAAAAGCCTATCAGAACCAGACTAGTCCCGGGCCCTAGACTATGGGTTAGGGTATCTTGGTTATTTAATTATTGTGATTTGGACATTCTTGATAAGTCTTCTGCTTCTCTGAATTCCCATTTGCAGGCTTAGTTTGTTCTCCTTCTAAGAGAGTTCTGCCTGGGACCCGCTTAGAAGGTTTCTTGAGGCTGCCTGGGCTTTGGAAGGGAATAAAGTGATAAACATTCTGGGCTGGGCTTTCGCAGAAGTCAGGAAATCACCTGACCATGAATAACCACCCACTGTCTGAAAAGTAGTCAGCCCCTGACCCTGGTTCTTTTTCATTTTGTTAAGAAATGTCCACTACTAAGCTTAAACTTTCTTTGGGGAAGAAACTCATCCACATGTCTTCGCCTTTCTGCTTTTGAGAAAGTTTAAAGCTCTTTGGAAAGGAGAGACTAGATAGGAGGAGGAAGGACTAAAGGGCAGAAGCGGGGGGACTTCCCAAACAAGCACAGAACTGTCCACCAGGCCCATCCAGGCTGGAAGTGAGCTATGACCAAAGCTGTCCAGAGCCTGCAGGGCAGGGCTGTGGGTCCCTGGCTGCTGAGGGGTAGCTAATGAGGGCAGCAGCAGGAATTGGGTCTCTAAAGGCTGAGCACTTGTCTCAGGTACCCTGTGTGCCGCCATCACCCTCCATCTGCATATTTCCTCCAAAAAGAATCCCTACAGATGGGGCCAAGGATCAGCTAACCTGGCGACTTTGGGAATTGCTTGACTCAGAGGATAGTAGCAGTGTCATGCCCAGCCAGGTCTCTGCTCTCTCACTTCTTTCTCTCTTCTCTTCAGTCTTCTTAGTTAATTTGGGCCCTACACCTGGCCAGAAGGTAGCAAGATAATTGGTAGCCACGGAGATGAGCCACTCTAGATAAGGCAAGTAACCTGTATCTCTGAATCACAGAGAATACTGGTGGTTCTGTCTCAGGAGAGACCTGTCTATCCCTTGTCCTTCCTCCACTGAAAATCTCTAATGACTCAATTTCTGTCTTTTTAAACCATGAAATTTAGAGGAATCTGACTCTTCCCCTGGAAGACAGCCAACCAAAGGCTCACTATGCCCAACAATTTCATATTTTGGTCTCTGTACTTCTCTCTTCTTCCCCTATAGCTATGGCTCTCTGCCCCTCTGGATGCCTTGTTTCCACTTTTACTGTCTCTAATTTTGTCTCTGATCATATCTTCCCCACTACTGTTTTTGTTCTCTCTCAGGGGGCTTTATCTCCCCCTGTCTCAGTCCACAAATATAACCCCAGAACCTCTGTCTCTGTCTCTCCAAGGTCCCGAGGTCTCTAGGCGTTTGAGTTAGATGAAAATGCCCTCCTTTGGCATTCCTTCTTTGTAAAGAATGTGTTGGGGCTCCACAAAGAGTGACAGCAGAGAGGGGTTCTGACCCCACGTCACTCCTATCCATCCTCAAAGCTGAAGGGAGGACACCTTCTCTCCTCCCCATGCTATATCTAGAAAATTGCAATGAAACACACGCATTACAGAATTTACCATTTAATCATTCCCCAAACCTGGCTTTCTAATCACAAGGAAGCAACATGTGAATGATACCCTTGAATGATACCGTAGCCTCACCCCCGCTCCTCTTGGCCCCCTTCAGGATCCCCCGAGACTCCCATTGGCCATCATCTGGGCTGTCCCATCTTCTTAAGAGCAGCCCACCACCCTCTGCCCTTCAACTGGGAACACAAAAGGAGGCAGCTTCCAGACACAAGCCCAGCCCCTACAGCACTGACCTCCCCAAAACCTGGATCCTGGGGCCTTCCCTGCTCCGCCTCCCCTAGTCCTGTGCTGGTCGCAGGAAGCATCTGATGCTTGTTCCTGATAAGCCCATATGACACCATCAGAACCCTTAAGAGATGGAGTTTCCAGAATTTCAGGGCACTCTCCGCATTGGACATGTAGCCCTGAAGATTTCTCCTGGTCCTTAAAATGCCAGTATGGCATAAAGGCAGACAATGGGATTTGACATCCCCAAAATCTGGATCATGGGGGCTTCCCTGCTCCTTCTCCCCTAGTCCTGTGCTCGTCTGAGGAAACCTCTGAACCATGTCCACCCAAAGTAGTGTCTCCTGTAAGACCATGAGACCTTGATGGGCAGAGGCCTGCTCACTCCTTGCCACCCCTAAAATATTTTCTAATTGAAGATGTTTTCTAGTAACATTTTAGCTACCTTTACAATCTAAAGTTATTTTAGTTCCCTGTGAGGTACAATAGAAGAGATAGGCTATGAGGGCTTGATATCTGAAGTCTAAGGAAGGCCCCAGCGAGCATCACCAATACCCCCTCCCCATGAGGACCATATCTTTCCTCAGGATGCAGTGAGCTACTTAAAGTTAGGGACTATGTGCCACTCTCTCGTATCAAGGCCAAGTTAATAGCTGTTCGTATTTTATGTCTCGTATCAAGGCCAAGATAATAGCTCTTCAGTGGACAATACATCAGTGAATGGAGACATGACTGTGGAGAGTGGTGGAATGAGAAAGGAAAAGAAAGCAGGCCGGCTTTGTTTGTTTTGGTGCCAGGTACTCAGGCAAGTCATGAGTGGCAACTTCTGTGAGACTTTGGCTTGCGGTCCAAGACGACCTGAAAGTGGCAGGTCACTCACGGGTCAAATACTCAAAGCAGCTGATCTAGAGCAAACCACCTTGGGAGCCAAGCTGAAGAGCAGCCCTCAGCCTAACCTCGTGGAGCAGACTACTGCTGCTTGCTTCTTGAACTGAACTGTGATTTGACCATTTTTCAGGCACCCAGATCTCATCCTGAGACCCCCCTTTTTACAACCACAACTGCCGCAGGGGAGCTTGTACCATCTCTCAGCTCTGGTCTCTTTGGTGGGCCCCTTCATAGGCAGAGCTCTCTGGGCAAGAGCAGTTGGGGAGCCTCACTCCACTTGAGGGGTCCTCTGGGCCCAGGACCAACCCTTCTCCCTATCCGTGGGGTCTAGGGGTGCAGAGAGGGCCGTGTGGTGGCACTGACTCTCAATGGCAGGGCTTCCCGGGGACTGGCTTCGGGTGCATATCATGCAACTGCTTATCCATGTAGTTTCTGGGCACAGAGCAGCCCAGTCCCTCCCCAGACAAAGGGCCACTCCTTTCCCAGCCTGCCTGCCTAGGGCTGAGCTAGGGTCCCTTGTATCCTCCACAAAACTGAGCTTCCCAGGGCTGCTTGGGAAACTGGCTTCCTCTCAGTGGGAAACAGACTGTAGTTAAGATGCAGATCTTTCTGAAAGAAAAAAAAAAAAAAGGTATGGGGCTGCGAGCATCTTCTCCTCAGAGTCAGCTGTGCCTGGTCAGGCAGGGCAGCTGCTGGAGGGATTCCTTTAACGGTAGGGGGAAGCTCCAAGAACCCTTCCCAGAGACACCTGGATAGGGCTGGGAGGTGGGAGAGAGGCTCAAAATCACATGCCCTGTTGCCCGTATGGGCTTGGGACTGGCCCAGGACAAGGGCCAGTTGTCATGCACTCCTTGTAAACTAGGGATGAGCTTTGCCCCAAGGGAGGTGGGCAGCTGGGGCACCCTCAGCCCGTGGCTTCTTGACTTGGCCACTTCTGTTTCTCTTCATCTGCATTCTGTCCCCAAGAGAGGCATGTCCCCAGAGTTAGGGGCAGAGGGACGAAGCACAGACCATATCCCTGAAGCCTTCAGGCTCAATTCTCTTTGGGCGAGGTCCAGCCAGTCACCTCTTCCTGTGCTGTTAGCCTTGTCCTGACCTCACTCTGACTCTGGTTTCCTATGGGACACTCTCTTCTTCCTCTCCTCTCCTTCCTTCTTTTTTGACACCATGAGGTTTTTCATCCTAACTCTTTGCTCTGCTCTTGCTGTGCTCTTTCTCTTTCTTCAGATATAATCTCAGCATTTACTTTTCTGTTTCTGCCCATTTGTCTCTCCTGAGTTGGGAGTCCTGTGGATATTTCAGACTTATCAAATAGCCCTCTGTTTGGATGCACTCCCCAGCAGTGATAGCCCAATACAGGGGCAGCAGGGAGTAGGCAGGCTGTCACTCCAGCTGAGTCATCTTCCTCCTTTCTCCTCCTCAGGCCAGGCTTTCTGGTGGCAAGGAAGCACCACCTTGGTGATACTCCAGTGTCACTCCACCTCTTCGTGGCCCCTTCCAGGAACCCCCTTCCCCCGCCAGCCAAGACTGCATTGACCATCATCTGGGCTGTCCCCATCTTCTTGGGACCCATCCTGGACCTCTGCTCTTCAACTGGGGACACCAAAGAGGCAGCTTCCAGTCACAAGCCCAGTCCCTGTAGCACTGACATCCCCAAAATCTAGATCCTGGGGGCTTCCCTGCTCCCCCTTCCTGAGTCCTGTGCTGGTCTGGGGAAACCTCTGAACCATGTCCCTTATAAGTCCATAAGGCCATCAGAACCCCTTCAAACCTGAGGTCTCCAGCATTTGGGGGCATTTTCAATGGCTGTCTTTGAGACCCCTCCCGCTGTATCCTAACTCACCAAGTAGTTTTCTTTTCCCTGATATCGGTGCTGCTCAAGGGATGGACCCTGATTAATACGTGTGAGTATGTTTTGATTTTAGACTCTAAATTCCCGAATGGGCAAAGAACTTTCTGGTTTCCAACTTCCTATCTGCCTGGTGAGAAGCAACAAATATTGACTCCCCTGGAGGATTTTTTGATGTTAACTTCCTCCCAGTAGCTGTATTTACCCATGAGAGCAGGGACTAAGGGATGTGTCTACCTAAGCCATCCGCCTGCATCCTATATTTCTCTCTTCATTCTCAGCATGTCAGTCTGCCCTTTCTCACTACCCAGGAAGGTACTTGAATGCAGGAACTTTGTCTCATTCATTTTTATATCCCCTCTGCCCAGCAAAGCTCAACAAATATTTGATAAAGCAATGAGCTTACAGATGGGTGAATTCCTGAACAAATATCAAAGGAGAGTGGCAATAGGGAAATGCAAAGGGAAGTGAGTGGTGTGGTGTCCTGTCCAGGACACCACCCCTGCCAGGATGCCTGGCAGTTGGGTCTATTGAACTTTGATTTACCTAGAAAGGTTTTAATGGACCTTCCCCACAAAATCCTTTTATGCTGGCTCTCTACATGTATGAGCATGATCCAACAGCAACACCACAGTTAGATGCTCCAGAGCCCTGCCTGAAGAGAAATCCTACATCCATCTCCTCCTGCTTAGTAGGGGAGCACTGAGCAATTTTGGGAGCCATTTATTTCCTTCCTTGGGATCACACTTCTTCCCCAGATGTCTGATTCTGGTTTTCATCTGCAGCAATGGCCTTCATCTCCCAGGGCACTGGGACCTGAGATAGCAGAATTGGCCAGCAGGAGGACTATGTGAGGGCTTCTCTGGGTCCAAAGTGAGTTCCCCCACCCCCTGGGATTGGAGGAAGGAAAAGTAGAGGTGCTCCTGCTAGGGTTTTGAGAGCAGCCTCATGGGGGCTTTTGTGAGGAGGGCATGCCTTGGCACCCCCCTCTCCTGGCTATTCTGTGCTGTACCCACTAGGCTTCAAGCAGCCTCCCCAGAGGAGGCAGCCCAATTTCCACCTGGGAGCCGTTTCTGAGTCTCCCTCACACCTGAGCTTCCCTGGACAGGAGACCTCGGCTAGAGGAGTCCGGGAAGACCTCAAGCCTGTCCCTTTCCCCTAGGCTAAGGTACTAGATGCTCAGCCCTCCACCATTATGAGGGTGTTTCCCGGCCATTCAGCTGATCACTGTTAAGCTATATCATTTCTCTCTGGAAAGGATGCCCAAACCCCATCCCTCTACTCAACCTTCCTGGGTTCTATTCCCTTGTTTCTGGGGCAAGGCTTTTGGAAGGGTTGGAGGGAGAGGGGATGAGGGGACAGGAGAAGGACACTTTGAGCTTTCTGCCCTCCTCCTGTCCTGCCTTAGCTGGCCCCCTTCAGTTCCTGTCTCCTGCCTCTGACTGGAATGAGAAGAAAATGTCTTGCACGTCCCAGGTCCACCCTCCAACACTGGCTGGTCCAGTAGGCTGTTTCTTCTGCACTTTGGCCCTGGTTCCTGATTCTACCTTCCCCAAGTCTCCACCGTTCCACCCTTAGCTTCCTTCTCCTTGCCACCCAATTCTTCATGGCTTCCCATCACTTCCCCTCTCTTTTACCTCCCTGCCGCTATCTTGCCAAAGGCTCTCTCCTGTCTGTGGTTCTACTTGATCTCTGCAATTTTTTCCTTCCCTCCATTCACCCTGGACCTTTTGCCCTCGTGATTTTTCCTTTCCTCCTGTGTATTTGTCTCTTGATGACCCATTTTCCTTTCAGAGAAACTGAAGCTCAGATAGGTCGGGGGTAATGGCCTACATGAGAGAGTAGGACTTAGTAGACAAGGCCTTGCATCCTTGCGGCCCTGCCTTCTGTCTCGTCCCTCTTCCTTTTTGTCTTGGTCAGCCGCTCAAAGGCTCCAGTTCTGCGTCCAGCAGGGGAGCCCCTTGGAGGGTTCCAGAGTCCACCACTGCACACCCATCACCTTCACCCACTGCCTTGCTGTAGCAAACCTGCAGCCACTCTGTATATTGTATATGTATATTTATCTATCTGTATATAGATATACAATTTCAAGAACCTACTAAAGGAGGAAGCCTCACTGCTATGCAGCCTGACAGGTTATCAAGTGGGTCTCTTTGAATCCCTTTTCATTTCTAGGACAGTTAGGAACCATGAGGTGCCCCCCCTGCAGACCCCAGAGCTGCTGCCTTCCCCAGGTGTGCAGGAAGTTTGTAGGAGACTGGGACCCTTGGCTGCCCAAGCTGCCTCCCCTCCCCCACCCGCCCAGTGGCAGTTGCGTCCGTTGGGGCTTCCGGGGTAGCCCACAGGGTTCCAAGCATGTGCTAGCAGTTGCTTTTTAGAGCACCCACTTCACTTCTCCCATGTAGTACCTGAGTGCAGGACTCTCCTGAAGAAGGGGCTTCTAAATGGCCAGCCCATGCATCTTGTTCAGACCAGGCTGCTCCATCCCTGCTAAGCCCAGGGATCCACTTGTGTGTCTTTCTGGGATCATTGCCTTTCGTGGCAGCCTGGGCCTCAGGGAAGGAAGGGCACAAGGAGCAGCCCTGGCTGGGATGTCAGGGGCCTAGGAAAATTCCTGCCTCTACCAAGAAATTGCCCCCTCTTTTCAGAGGCTGCCTTGTCCTAGATATCTGATGTCCCGCCCTTGCAGTTTCCAACTCCAGATGTAGGTCTGGCTCCTCTTAAGCTACAATTTCTTTGTGGGAAGACAGTTATGAAATTGCGGCATTCCTAAGTCTCTTAATGTGAATTGTCAGAGCCCCTTCAGACCAGTGACTGGGGCCGGGCATGAGAGGCAGGTGGTAAGGGCAAGAGGAGCAGCCCCTGTGCGCTTGGGCAGGCTGGAAGGGTTGGAGAGAGGAGCTGAAAACACCCCAGATTTCCCAAATGGGCTCGAAGAGATCCCAGCCCTGAGGTGCCTCCCACTCAAGTCGGAGATGAATTTTTCCCAAAATCCAAGTCTGTGAGGGCTGGGTCACAAGCCTCTCACGCAATGTGGGCTCCTGATGCTGACGGGGCGCCCTGACATCCCTGTGTTCTCTCCTGCAGAACCTCGTCGTGACATTTCCCAGAAGCCATGACATGTCCCTGCAGCTGGAGGCCTTTCAAGCGTGGCCCAGGAGGCCTCAGAGGCCTGATGCAGCCTGCAAAGGAAGGTAAGTAGGTGGCAGGGCTGAATCTGTGCCTCAAAAGCCAACACTCCAGTTACTTGACTTCCTCCCTTCTCCATTTCCTGAACCTGGATGGGTGCTGCCAGGGATGAGACGGAGGACCCCATTCATTTGTTAGGAGATCCAGAGTTCAGCCTCTCCAGTGCCTTGGCTGCCCCCTTCTTCACTCCCAAGTGCTGCTTGTGCATACTTACTCATTGCTCCCTTTCCCTGAGACAGTGCCTATTCTCCTTTAAGAAGTATAAACCGGAGGAGCCTCTTTGGTGATAGCTGCCCACTACTGAGCCTCCTCCCTTCCTGCAGCCTCTGCCCTCTCCAAGCTCACTCTGGCCTTTCTTATCCTAGGTAGCCTCCTGTCCTTTGTCTCTATTTTTGTCTTTGATCACAACTTCTCTCCTGTTGTCCCTTTGGAATGGCAGCATCATTCTGCAGCTTCTCGGTCAGCATGGGTTACAGGTTTGTGACAACAATGATGCATGCTGTCCCCATAGTGGCTCGATGGGCCTTGGACAATCACTCATGTACCCAAATGTGTTCTCCAGATAATCTTTCCTCTGTGTATACAAAGAGAGAGCGTTTAGGGAGCACTGTTCTCCTCACCCATTCTCTCTGTTTTCCTCTCCGTCATCTGAGATGTCTTTCTCTATGTGCCATTCTGCCTCTAATTATCCCCTTTTTCTTTGTTTACAGAGAAGAGCTGTTCTCACGGAAGGATCCAAAGGGCTCAAAGGCGAAGGGTGCCATCTGCTTCTCCGCTGATTCAGAAGATAAAGAGGAGAAGTGTCCTGTTTCATCCATATTGCTGGTCCTGATTTTTCAATAGTGTCCCTTACCCTGAAGCTCTTCCATTGGCCATCATGGGGTTAGCTAACAGCCCAGGAAACTGGTCTCTTTTCCTTTCCCCTTACCACCTGGAACTCAACTGGAAAGGGCAATCAGATGACTCTATATCAGGCCCCACCACCTGGTCTTTGAAGTTTCTGTCCTACCAGTGCCACAGCTCCCTCTTCCACTTCTGAGCTACCTCCAAAAAAGGCCATCCTCAGCAGCCTAGTTATGCTCATCCTGGAATGCTGTATTCTGGATGTCTACTCAAGGCCAAACCCCAATATTGCCTTTTTTCCCCTATTCAAGGCCAAGGCTAGGCTCTCTTCATTGTCTCCATTTCTCTTTCTCTAGAGCTCCTAGAGGGCCAGACACTGTTTCTCATATATTTCTGGATCCTTGGAGCTTAGCTCAGAGCTTGGCATACATGCCCAGTGTGAACTTTTCTGAATAAAATAATTTCAAATGCTGTATACAAGATAATTTTTTTTTTCTGAAATATATAGAGCTAAAAGCAGCTGAAAGTAAGCTTGGGGGCCATCCTGGTGTGCTCAGGGAGAAAAGTGAGGGAGATGAGGGCCGTGAGACAGGCATGCATGTGTTCAGAAGGGGATTTAAGGACCAGTGTGCCTACTGAGGCAGAGTTAAGAATCAGCACACACAATGCTGACCTCGAGGGCACTTCATCAATTTCAGATTCACGACTGTTATAGATCTTGAAGCAACCTATCATGGGTGGTAGTTGTTGCAAAAACACTGGAAAAAGACAAATTTCATCAGACTGTGATCAAAAAGGAATTTCTCTGCCTAGGTAAGACTCTAGGAATTGTTGTGCGTATAGAACTGAGATTTGAAATATTTATCAACCTACTGTCTCTATGCACCTTTATGCTATACTATTCCATTTCCATTTTGCTCAGAGAGATATATGGGCTAGGTTTCTAGTTACAGATTCAAAAGCAAATATCTTAAAAGCTATTTCTGAATCTCCAACTGCACAAGTTTCCAGGTAAGATTAAAAATGAGTGAATTAACTTTTGCAGTCAAAAATTCTGTGTGTCTGTGTGCTGGTGCAGGGACATGCACATGAGTGTGGGATTTAAGCTTGTATGTGCCAGTATGCTGGATTCAATGCACTCTACACAACTGTGGCCACAATGTTGGTACCTCTGTTGCCTCTCCTACTAGAGATTCTTCACAATGGTGATGGCTAAACAGAGTACGATGTTGAAAAAGCTGTGAACATCAAGACCATGGAAAGACAAAAAGAACATAGAGATCGATGAGCAGTGACTGACATGGAGGGCCACTGAGGGCTGTGGAGTCAGTGTCTTCCATATCTCTGTATCTTCCCTGTTGTATCCCTCTTCCCTATTCTCACTGCCAGTGTTTGGACTGGGACTATCGGCTCTCCTGGAGCCTTCTAAACCTACTCCCCCATCACTCTCCACACTTTCCCCAGATTGGCCTTTCTAGAACTTGCATATGACCAAATGCCTTACAAGCTGCAAGCCACCTGGGACTCTACACTGCTCCTGCTCACTGCCATGCCAGTCTTTATTTTGTCTCCTAATTATCCTTCAGGTCCAGCTCAAGTCTTCCCTTTCTTGTAGGAATGATTAGTTTTATGTATCAATTGGGCTAGACTGTATTACCTACTTATTCAATTGAACGTGGATCTACATGTTGCCAAGAGGGTATTTTGCAGATGTGTTTAATGCTTACAATAAGTTGAACTTTCATAAAGATGATCTTGGATAATCTGGGAGGACTTCATCCAATTGAGACAGAGTAGAGATGGGGCTTGCTTCAGCTCATCACCACTAGAGCATTCTTCTATGTATTCCCACTGATCACAAAACCCACATGACTACCTCACTGCTAAGAATTTCAGGAACTGGCCTTAGGAGATAACCAAGGTTGTGGCGTGTCCCACCTTTGGAAAGAATGCTGAACAATTGATTGACAGCCTTGTTGTTGCTGGTCAGACCACCAAGTTGCCCAATATTTAAGTTAGCCATAATTACCAGATAATGCCAACTTGCATACTGTACCCCCCACCCCCCACTGACTTTGCCCAGTCCAGCCTACACACCCCACCCCTGATGTCAGTTCCCATGCTTGCTTAATAAGAAAGTTCAACTGGCACTTTTCAGAGAGTTGAGGGAATTCTCCCTCTGTCTCTCTTTGCTGCCCTCCTTATGTCCGGGCATCAGCTCTAATAATGTCAAAAAAATAAGTCATTTAGGAGTTATATATACCAAGTGTTGATGAATCCAGATGATGCTTTTTCCAGTTTTGCAAATGACAGTATATCAATTAGGTTTTCCAGAAAATACAGAACCAGTAAGGTAGATAAATGATAGATAGGGTGATGGATAGATTGGATAGATAGATAGATAGACAGACAGATAGATAGATAGATAGATAGATAGATAGATAGATAGATAGATAGATAGATAATAGACAGATGATAGATGGGGTTTTATTTCGAAGAATTGGCTTACACAGTTGTGGGGTTTGGCTGGGTAAATCTTAAAATTGTGGGACAGGCCAACAGGCTAAAATCTCCAGGCAGGAGCCGATGTTGAAGAACTGGGGTAGAATTTCTCTTTCTTCCCAAAAATCTCATTTTTGCTCTTAAGGCCATTCAGCTGAATGTGTTCCTAATCAGGGGTTCTTGGACTCTCAATGCAATATCACACTCTCTACATCATACGCTCTAAATTAATATTTGCAATGATGGCAGAGCAAGCATGGATTTTGTGGGTCTTAGTCTACAAAGTCAGGGGTATCGGAAGTATCACATTATTTTCTTTCCACTTCCCTCTGCGCATCTCTGCACTAGAAAGGCAGGACATTTTGTCTCAGTCACAACAGGAGTCGTCCCCTTCTCAAAGGTTTGCAAGGACTTCTGGATCTCAAGGAGCCCTAAAGTATTGAAAAGACCCCTCCGGCCATTTGTCTCAGGAGATTGGCATAGTTTCTCCAATGCTTATATTCCAACACACATGACTCCATGGTCAGTGGCCTTGGATGCAGAAGTGCTGCTGACTTTGTGTCATGTCTGGGGCTGTCCCTGTGCCCTGGGGTCCAGACTCACTGGTGAACCACACAACTTGCCCTCTCTGTGGGCTCCTCACCTCTACCAACACCAAACTGGCTCCACCTTGCATGCAGGGTCCACTGACATTTTCTGCTTAATTGTCTAGATGGAGTTTCTTTCTCCTTTAAACCAGTTAAGATAATCCTTCTCTTTCCTTTTCTGGAACAAGGAAGCATCATCTCTTTTAGAAATTTAAGCTTAAGCTTTTACAAAAGTCAAAAGAGCTACTGATTTTAAGTAGGTCGCTGCAACAATCCCTGCAGCAAGAAACCCCAAAGAACCTGAAAGATCAAACACAGATTGCTTAATAAACTGTGGCAATATACATGATTATTCATCCATCTTCCCACTAAAACATCCATAAGACATTTTAGAATAATAGCTATAAAGATGGTAGTGAGATCAAGTGAACTTTTCTCTCCACGTTGTTGCCCATATTTTATACATGTTTTATAATAAACATATTGTTTTGGTAATGTAAGAAACTATCAAAAGAAGAATACAGTCAGAGGTCAAAAGAAAAATGCAGTCAGAGGTCAAAAGAAAGTGGTAGAGTCCAAAGACTCAGGACCAAATTCCAGCTTTGCTACTTACTTGCTTGATGACTTTTAAATCTCAGTTTGCTGAACTGTTAAAGTGAGATAATACCAAACTTTTGTTTATTGAATCAAATCAGCCAATGTGTATCAAATTCTTGGTGTATCCCAGTACCTAGTATATCTTTAGTACATAGTCACAGCTCTTACCCCTGCTGGACTGTGAGTTTGAGGGCAGGACTGGGTCTCTTTTCTCCTCTATCTTCATCATGGAAGATAGTCAAAAGTTATTCGTTATAAGAATGAACGAATGAAGAATTTATTTAATCCTAGATCTGTCATTCCAAAAGTTAGATTATTTCTCTGTACTGAATATATTAACCTAAAGTCCCTTTGGGGTCTGCATGTGTACATGTTTTTTAAACAGACTGGCTTTTTTGTGTGTGTGACAAAATTCCTGGAGAGACTTTGACCCACAGAAGATGTTTCATGCCACCTGCCATAAGTCCAAATATATTAGTCCATTCTCACACTGCTAATGAGACATCCCCAAGACTGGATAATTTATAAGGAAAAGAGTTTTAGTTGACTCACAGTTCAGCATGGCTGAGGAGGCCTCAGGAAACTTAAAATCATGGTGGAAGGGGAAACAAACATGTCCTTCTTCATATTGCGTCAGGAGAGAAAATAAATGAGAGAATGAGTGCCGATGGAAGTGAGAAGACTCTCATAAAACCATCAGATCTCAAGAAAACTCACTATCACAAGAACAGCATCAAGGAAACTCACTTATGATTCAATTACCAAGTTCCTCCCAGGACACATGGGGATAGTGGGATTACAATTCAAGATGAGATGTGGGTGGGGACACAAAACCAAATCATATCATCAATCATACACATGTTCCACTTTGCCCTTAAGTTTTTATAATTTCCTAATTATCTCTGCACATATATCATATCTCTGTTTATAACTCTGACTCCATGGCAAGGTTACTCATATATTAACCGTGGCTTTTCTGCTTGAGATTTGACATCAGTACTGGCGAGGGAATGAGAGATCATAATCAAAAGATTGAAAAGTGACCAAAACCTAAAACACACCACCACCTGGTGTTCCCAAGCCCCACCTGGATGGTCCATTCAGCCTATTAAAAGCATATACTCTTCTCTAAATTTTTTGAAAATGTGTATTATTTACCTATTGCTGCATAAGAAATTAGTACAAATTTAACAGCTTAAGAAGACAGATATTTAATATCTTACCATTACTGTGGAGCAGGAATCTGGGCATGACTTATCTGGGTCCTTTGGCTAAGGGTCTCTGGTGCCACAGTGAAGGTGTTGGAAGGGCTGGGGTACCTTCTGAGACTCAACTGTGAAAGAATCCACCTTCAGGCTCATGTGTCATGGGCAGGATTCACTTCCTCACTGAGGGCTGTTGGCCACCTTCAGTTCCTTGTTATATGGGCTTCTTTATAAGGAGGCTTACTTCCTCAGAGCCTGCTACCAGGGAGAGTCAATAGACTCTGCAAGCAAAATGAGCAAGAGGAAAGTTACAGCCTCATGTAACATTATCCCAGAATTAATATCTCATCACCTGTGCCATATTCTAATGCTTAGAAACAAATCACAGAACCACTCAAGGGGATGGGATTGCATAAAGGCATGAACACTAAGAAGTAGGGATTCTTGAGAAGGCCACCTAAAAGCCTGCCAACCACAGAGTCCAGGGGGGATGATTTTAAATTTGTGTTTGGTCAAAACCAGTCCATCACAACTCACACTCTGATCATAGACAAGTCATAAGGAAGTGACAAGATCAGCCATAA